CTTAATACTGTTGAGGGAGTCCAGGGCCTCCACAGCTTTGGTGAGGGATTGTTTGAGAGAGCCTATTGAAAATCTTTTCCACCTTTTGATCATTTTTTTGATACATTTCAGTTTGAGAGGCAGGGCTATATGTTGGCCATGATAAGAGCTGAAAGATTGCCAACATGATTCGATGAAGGGAATGAACGATGGGAAGGAGAGCCAGTACTTCTCAAATCTAAAAAGAGGGGGTTTATAGGGAGAAGAAGTGTCCAAGATGATTGGACAATGGTCAGAGCAGGGAGGCTGATACCCGTATTGCGAAAGGAGGGGGAAGTGAGATTCAAAGTCCAGGGAGACGAAGAACCTGTCGAGCCTAGCTAGGACAGGAGGTGACCTCTGATTAGACCAGGTAAATTTCCTTCCACTAAGAGGTAGGTCGAGAAGACAGCAAGAGTCTATCAAGTTTTTGAAGGCCGAGATCTCACGAATAGAACTAGATCTTCCACTACGCTCAGATGCACTAAGCGTCATATTGAAATCACCAAAGAGAACCCAAGGCAAAGAGGTAGAGGTCCTAATCCTTTGAATTTCCCACCAACATACCTCCCTTTCCTCACCATCGCATGGAGCGTAGACTGTAGTGGCAACAAAAGACCAGTTGGAAGGTTTGTGGGTGAAGGTCGCTGAAATGGAGAAGATACCTATAGATGAAGAGGAGCAGGATAGAATTGACTCATCCCAACCCAGAAGAACACCCCCTCTAGATTGAACAGCTTCTAAAGAAATCCAGGCAGAGATAGAGCTGCCACCCAGTCTTTTGAGAACATGATGTCTAACAGAGTTGAGTTTAGATTCCTGAATACCCAGAAGATTAACTTTAGCAATCTGAATACTCTCCTTAACCAGTCTACGTTTCACAGGGTTATTTAATCCTCTGACGTTCCAAGAGCCGATCTTCATTGAGCAGATATAAGAGACACCTGCGAACAAGGGGCTAGATGGAGGATCGGAACTAACTAAGAGACTTGATGCTCTCTCTTTCCATAGATTAGATATCAAGTAACCCCAAAGATTCTAAAGGTTTCTGAATGCCACAGTTGATAGAAATCTCATGCAGAAGTGAAGATTTCATAGCATTGATAGGGAGAGTAGAAGCTGAGGAAGAGGATGTACCCTTAGAGCTGCTAGTGATGGGGCCATTCTTCTTCAGGGACAGGTGCCTTCTGTGAGGAAGATGGGCCATCAGTCGCCAGGAATGCTTCTTTTTAGGAGGCTTACTGGTTTT